GGGCTTGTGAGCCTCTCAACTTTGTCCATAGGGCCAAGGCTAAAATTCAGACACTAAGTATTGTAAACCTTAATGGGTAGGAGCTGAAGAAAATTTAAAACTCTTGTGAAAACTGCAAGTAATTTCTACTTGCAAGAATGAATACTTTAGGAGGAAAGGAGGGAAGAAGGGGCAAGACAGAGGTAGGGCATTAAGAGACACAAACTATTATGTATAAGATAAGCCACAAGAATATATTATACAACATGAGGAATATAGTAAATACTTGTAAATACAAATGGAATATAACATTTAAAATTTGTGAATCACTATACTGTACACCTGTAACATGTAATATTGTATATCAACTATACTCCAATTTTAAAAAACTTAAAAATGAATACCAAGACTTAAGCAGACTATTCTTCTACTCTAGGAAAGCTTCTGTCAAGTTTTTTCCAGTTATGTAACACATGGGAAAAGATGGATGTAAAAGTTAAGTGCTGGAGAGAGATTTGCATCTCTCTGAACTGAGTTGGTTTTGGTCAGGATGGTTGTTTCCTGCCCTGATGGTAAGCATCTGTGGTTAGAGAGCTGAGTGCAGAACATGAACAGGCAAACTATACAGTCCACTTGGGTTAATGCTCTGCTATTGCTGTCTTGAAACTTTGAAAAAAAATTACATATTTATTTTTTGGCTACACTTGGTCTTCACTGGTGTAAGTGGGCTTTCTCCAGTTGTGGTACATGGACTTAGTTGTATCATGGTATGTGGAATCTCCCAGACTGGGGTTGGAACCCATGTCGCTCGAATTGGCAGGCAGATTCTTAACTATTGGACCACCAGGGAAGTCCTTAAATTCTTAATAACTTTTGAACAGTGCACATTTTAATTTTGCCCTGGGTCCTATACAATATATAGCTGATCTGGCACCAGAAGCTGGTGAAAGTGTTTTCACAAGACTGTGAGACTAACCAAAGTGGAAACTAGCTCATCAGGATGAGAAGAGGGGAGAGAATGGATACGCTTTTAAGTTTTTTGCCCTTTCATTATGCTTTACAACTAGTTATTGTAACTATTCAGGAAATTTTAGTGTTGTAAGATTGGACCCTGGTACAAAATCAAATGTGGGTTCTTCCTAATATGCTTTGGCATACAACAAAAAGAGTTCTTCTCCTTTCAGTCGGACAAGAGAATTTGACTAACTTGGCTAAGTGAGGGACAGGTTCAGAATAGGAGACGATTTGTTTTGTAAAGGGGAATGATCATGCAAGGGGATTGGTGGAAAGGCATTTGGGCCTCTGTGGATATGAAGCTCTGGTTCTCCAAATGAAAAGCTCTTTTCTTTAAAAAAAAAAAAAAGAATTTCATTCACCTCTGGGTTTGGGGGTGAGAGTGGTGCTTAAGGCCCCCTGGAAAGGGGTAAGAGCTACATTCCTTGATTACTTCCACTTTCCAAGAGGGCTTGAAAACTAAATCCTTGGGCCTTGATGCAGTGCCTTACTGTGATATAAAGCTGTGTGCTTGTGAGTCCAGGATTTTCTGGTTTGTTGTTGTTGTTCAGCTGCTAAGTCCTGTCTGATTCTTTCTGACCTTATGGGCTATAGCATGCCAGGCTCCTCTGTCCTCTATCATCTCCCAGAGTTTGCGCAGATTCAAGTCCCTTGAGTCAGTGATGCTACCTAACTATCTTATCCTCTGCCTCCTCTTTTTCCTTTTGCCTTCAATCTTTCCCGTCATCAAGGTTTTTTCCAATGAGTCAGCTCTTATCATCAGGTGGTCAAAGTATTAGAGCTTCAGCTTCAGCAATAGTCCTTCTGATGAATGCTCAGGGTTTATTTCCTTTAGGATTGACTGGCTTGATCTTGAAGTCCAAGACTCTAAAGAGTCTTCTCCAGCACCACAATTCAAAATGAAGAATTCTTTGGCACTCAGCCTTCTTTATGGCCCAACTCTCCACATCTGTACATGAGTACTGGAAAAACCATAGCTTTGACTATATGGACCTTTCTCAGCAAAGTAATGTCTCTGCTTTTTAGCACACTGTCTAGGTTTGTCGTAGCTTTCCTTCCAAGGAGCAAGCATCTTTTAATTTCATGGCTGCAGTCACCATCTGCAGTGATTTTGAAGCCCAAGAAAATAAAATCTGTCACTGCTTCCACTTTTCCCCCTTCTATTTGCCATGAGGTGATGGGACCAGATGCCATGGTTTTAGTTTTTTGAATGTTGAGTTTTTAGTGTGCTTTTCACTCTCCTCTTTCACCTTTATCAAGAGGCTCTTTAGTTCCTTTTCATTTTCTGCCATTAGGGTAGTATGGTCTGCATATCTGAGGTTACTGCTATTTCTCTTGGCCACTTTGACTCCAGCTTATGATTCATTCAGCCTGGCATTTCACATGATGTACCCTGCATAGCAGTTAAATAAGGAGGGTGACAATATACAGCCTAGATGTTCTCCTTTCTCAATTTTGAAACAGCCCATTGTTCCATGTCCGTTTCTAACAGGTAAGATGCTCTGGTATTCTCATCTCTTTAAGAATTTTCCACAGTTTGTTGTGATCCACACAGTCCAAGGCTTTAGCGTAGTCAATGAAGCAGAAGTAGATGTTTTTCTGGAAGTCCTTTGCTTTCTCCGCGATCCAACAAATGTTGACAATTTGATCTTTTGTTCCTCTGCCTCTTTGAAACCCAGTTTGTACATCTGGAAGTTCTTAGTTCACATCCTGCTGAAGCCTAGCTTGAAGGATTTTGAGCATGTCCTTGCTAGAATGTCAAATGAGTGAATTGTATTTTAAACATTCCTTTACATTGCCCTTTTTTGGAATTGGAATGAAAACTGACTTTTTGTTGGTTTAGGAGAGACTAAAGTTGATATGCTAAGAGAAATAGAGAAGAGAGACAGCAAAAGACCTACCTAGACTTGACTGTCTTTTCCTTTGATTCTTTTGATTATCACACCCTTCCTTCAGTAAACCTCTTTTGTGATTCAGATCGTTCAAATGGAGATTCTGCGTCTTGCCTCCAAAGGATCCCCATTTTACAGATTAGGGAACTGAAACTCAGACATTTTTATTAAGTGATTTATCCAAGGCCCAGTGCCCTGAGCCTCTTCCATTACACAACCTTTCTTCCCTTCCTGCCAGTTTTGTTTATAGTCAGTCCTCTTTATCTGCAGTTTGGGCATCTATGGAGTCAACCATAGGACACAAATATTTGGGGAGAAAAGAATCCCAGAAAGTTCCCAAAAGCAAAACTTGAATTTGCACTGGCAACTCCTCACATAGAATTTACATCATGTTAGCTATTACAAGTAATCTAGAAATGTTTTAAATGGGAGATGGGAGGCTGTGTATAGGTTTTATGCAAATGCTATACAAGTTTGTATCAGCTACTTGAGTATCTACAGATTTTTTTTTTGGGGGGTAGGGGGAAGCAGGAAAGTGTCCTCAGAGAACCAGTTCCCTGAGGATACAGAGGGGTGACTGTATTTTGATATAATATAGAAGGAATTCCCTTAATCTTTCAGGATTCCATTGCAAGAAACACAAACTAAAACTTTGGCTAAGTAAAGCAAGAATTTATTAATAGCTTATGACTAGCTCATAATTTAGAAGTAGGAAATACACACCCAACCTTGTGAAGCCTTGAACCAGAAAGTCCAGATCTTAGTCATAGGAACACGTGTGCCACCTCTTTAAGCAGATGATCAGGTCCAACCCCCTACAGTACCTGTGTGCTTAATATCAACAGTGAAGTTCCCTGGTAGGAGTCTGCTTGGCTTCTTACTAAGATGTGCCCAACCCTCTGGTCAGGAAAAAGATCCCACAGTTAGTGGTCCCCAGAATGAGGAAGATCAGAGGAATACTTTAAGAAATGAATGCTGAGCAGAAAAAACAAAAGCTGTATATCCCATAAGAGGACCTTTTGGTAAGATCTTTCCATGTAAATTTTTCATATGTAGATAATGGTGGGAGAGGTAACAGTGTTTTACAAAGGCCTACAAGTGGCCAAACATTTAGAAATGTCATATAGCAAAAACAAAAACAAAAAATCCTCATCTCAGATCTCCCTATTCTGGTAAGGGTGATAAACTTCTGTGCTCTAAATCCAGATATTTCAATTGTGAGGTCAGATATATGATAGTTAATTTATTAAAGTTTATATGAAATTGGGAATGATGATCTAATATTTCTTCCAGACATATTCCCATTCATCGAATGTCCCTGGCTGCCAATCCCCTCTACATGCAGCTTTTGTGCCATGTGCGTCCTGAGGCAAAAATGAGTTTATCCTAGTTTGAGCTCAAGTCTTGAAACCACACCTCTCCTGCCTTTATTAAAACACAAAAGATGTATTTTCATTGTGAAAAACTTAAAAATAGAGATAAAGAGAAAACAATATATATTACTTTTCATTAAGTACAGACAGAGATGTTTGAGGTTTTCTTTTGAGAAAGGCAAATATTTCTAATATGCACAACTGAATCTTAGCTAATTATAACACAATGTAAAATATCACAGACAATACATCTCTCAGCAGTAAAGAATTTGTGAGAGCATGGCATCCCACTACAGTATTCTCGCCTGAAAAGTCCCAGAGAAGTCCACAGAGAAGCCTGGCAAGCTATGGTCCATGGGGCTGCAAAGAGTCAGACATGACAGAAGTGATGAGCATGGCATGACATGTGCTTAGTAGATCTTTGCTTCTTTTATTTATTTATTTTTAAGCAACTACATGTATTGAGTGTCAGACACTGTGCTAGGTCTTTGTATGTAGTATTTTTAAAAGATGAGATATAATTTACTAACAACAAAATGCACAAGTTTAAACCATATGAATTTGATGAATTTTAACACATCACGAAAGCACAGAAAATGCAACCACCACTTCAATCAAGATACAGTATATTCTCTCCATGTTTGACGTATCATGAGGTAGTGATGTACAAGAGGTATAAGTGGTAAGAGTTCCACCATCGCTCTTCCCTTCTGTGGCCATCGCTGAAGCGCCGGCGGCCAAAATGAAGTTCAATCCCTTTGTGACTTCTGACCGAAGCAAGAATCGAAAAAGGCATTTCAATGCGCCTTCCCACATTCGCAGGAAAATTATGTCTTCTCCTCTTTCTAAAGAGCTGAGACAGAAGTACAACGTTCGATCCATGCCCATCCGAAAGGACGATGAAGTTCAGGTTGTACGAGGGCACTACAAAGGGCAGCAAATTGGTAAAGTGGTCCAGGTTTACAGGAAGAAATACGTCATCTACATTGAACGAGTGCAGCGGGAGAAGGCTAATGGCACAACTGTCCATGTGGGCATTCACCCCAGCAAGGTGGTTATCACCAGACTAAAACTGGACAAAGACCGCAAAAAGATCCTCGAACGTAAAGCCAAATCTCGCCAAGTAGGAAAGGAAAAGGGCAAATATAAGGAAGAAACAATTGAGAAGATGCAGGAATAAAGTCATCTTGTCTACAGCTTTCATTAAAAACTGTTAAAATGAAAAAAAAAAAAAAAAAAGAGTTCCACCATCACCCTCCGTCCATCTGGAATAGAACAAAGGTGTCTGTTTTCCTATTTCACAGTATCCACATAACTCCTATCCCCATTTCTTGGCTTTTAGTGGGAGGATGGACTCCTAAGTGTAGAATTCTGATAATTCCTTTCAGCTATTTTCGTTTCCCTGTAAAATATATTTATTTTTTGAAAATTTGAGTTTCACATAGACCCATTTTCTCTATTCAGCCTACATACAATTATTTCTTAAGTTTTTGACTTTTAAAGAAAAGTTTTAGTTCTGGTAAATGTAAAAAATATGGAAAAACAGAATTTACTTTTAGGTCCTTAACTGTATATAGATTAAACATTTGTTAAAATTTAGTGTTGTCTATGAATGTGTATCTTAAGGTTTAAAAAGCATAAAGCAAGTAATATTTTATCATACCAAACACTCCTTTCTGTGATAGATAAAACAACTGAAAAAAAGCTTTGTTTATTTTTTTCCAGGTTACCAGTGCTATTAGTGAAAAAACTCAAGCTGGCCAAACTACCTAAAAATAAATACCTCTAAATCATTTTTCATTAGAATGCTAATCAGAAAAATACTAAATCAAGATTCAGTTTATGTGGTGTGTAATGCAAAAAAGAAAACAGTAATTACACTTTGTTTTATGAATAATAGTGGCAAGTAGCCTCTCTCCAAAAAAAAAGCAGATACATCCTAAGAGCAGTTACATTTTTTGTGAGAAGCATTTTATATAGCACCACTTCAAGGCAGGCTCTGGAGTTGTCATTAGATTCTTTTCTTGTGCTTGCCATAAGTAACTTTGCTATAAGGATTTTCTTTTTACATCATCTGGTTTTTATCCATCTTTTGAGAATTTGGAAAATTTGAATTGACTCCAGACATTGTTCCCAGGTGGCGCTAGTGGTATAAAGAACACACCTGTGATGCAGGAGCTGCAAGAGGTGCAAGTTTGATCCCTGGGGCAGGAAGATACCCTGGAGAAGGAAATGGCAACCCATTCCAATATTCTTGCCAGGATAATCCCATGGACAGAGGAGCCTGGTAGGCTACAGGTTACAAACAGTCAGACATGACCAAAGCGACTCAGCATGCTTGTACCAGATATTGTAAAGATTTGCTTTACATTTCCAAGTATAACCAGTATTTGTAAATCTTGTTCATTTCAGGTATTATACCTTTGCAATCATTACATGTTGGAGCAGTATTATTTTTGTGACACATTTATGCTCTGTCTCTGCACTTTATTTTTTCATTTTTTATTTATCTTTTTGTCTCTGCATTTTAAAAATACTAACTACAGGGAGTTCCCAGGTGGTCCAGTGGGTTAGGATTTGGCACTTTTAACTGCTATCACCTGAGTTAATTTCCTGGTCTGGGAACTGAGATCCTGCAAGCCACAGGGCGTGGACAAAAAATTATATATATATATATGTATATATATATATATACATGTGTATGTATGTATATACTATTCTGTTTCTCTTCCATTCTCTTCAGTGAAGTTTCATGAAGCCATTTAAAAATAGACGTCATGAAGGGGTTTCTTTTTGGAGGTATAACTGACACATAACATTATATTCTTTTAGGTGTACAACATAATGATTTGTTATTTTTACATATTGCGAAATGATCACCCTAGTAAGTCTGGTTAGCATCCATATGAAGGGCTTTTTATCATTGGTAAATCATCAGAGTGAATCTTTTTTTTCTTTGGCTGTGCCGAGCAGCTTGTAGGATATCAGTTTCCTGACCAGGGATTAAACCTGGGCCACAGCAGTGCAAGCCTGAAGTCCTAACCACTAGGCCACCAGGGAACTCCCTTTAAAGTGAATTTTAATCCCAGGAATTTTTACATGAAGATATTTACTGCAGTTAGAAGGTGGGTTTTAAATGTGGTAGATTTGTTAGTCAGGGATACTCAAGTTGCAAGTGACAGAAACCAATAGCAAATTAACCTTTGCAAAGAAGGAGATGAAGGGATAAATACTGAACTCAGGAATGTGATGCCTTTTGCCCAGATAACCTAGTTTCTACTTTCTTCTGAGTAGTAGCCTCCTTCCTTCAGACATCTTTCCATGGGTGTGAATATGGCTACTGGAGCCTTGAGAACACATTCTTACAATTCCAGAGCCTGTCAAAGACCAAAACCAAACAAATAAGCAAACTGGTTTTATTTAGTTCACTGCAACAGGGTGAGCACTTTTGCCTGGAGACTTTTATAGGGAGACAGCTTATAGGTGGGATGATTTTAGTTGGAATTATTGTTGTAATCAAGGGGTCTCAGTCAGTCTGAACGGCAAATATTTGTGTGTAGCTAAGTTTCAGATTATCACTTAGGAGACCATGAATGGGATTTGGAAAGGTGGTGTCTGGCCTTACTGTAGGTAACAAGGAGGTCACTGTGAATCTTATTTAAGTCACATGTTCTTTGCAGTAAGCTGGAACATGAGGGTGCGGGGGATTTCTAAACCATCTCAAGTTTTCCAGGAAAACAGGGCTTAGGTAAATGTTCAACATTTTCAAGACAGAGAAGAAATTTCACCACTGACTACAAGAGATACATCTCTGGGAAGAGTGCCTTGTGCATGGTCATGTGGTCATCTGCCTAGCTCTGGTTCAGTCTTTGTGGCCCAGTGGGAGGAAGTGCTGTGAGTGATTCGGCTTGAGTTATGTCCACTCCTACGGTCAGGGTGATGACGAAAAGGGGTGGCAGGCAGATAGAGAAAATCGTTCCACAGTTGGCAAACTGTCACAATTTAATGCCAATTGAACTAAATTCTCACTTTTCCTTAACACAGAAGACGACAAACTTTTGTTCAAAATTAAATAGAGGCACTCTAATGATGATACTGGTAAATTACCACGAATTCTTTTCTAGGTTTTTTAACAGGCTGAGAAGTCTCACAGGCTATCCTGCATTTCCTTCCTCAGAAAAACTGCCCCTCACTCTTTCCAGTCTTAATGCTCTAAAACTGAAACAGCAAAAGCCTTTAGTAATATTTCAAATTATTCATTCTGTTTTTGATAGCTTTTCTCCTAGTACTTGCCACTTCTCCCATTCTACCTCAAAGTCATATTTGCCTTAATGTGGGCTTGAGGTCACAGAAATCCTTGTTCCCACCACCGAACAGCTTCAAAGCTTCAAGGTATATGAATCAGTATGGTAAGAAAACAGCCCATTATAATAAGGTTCCAGGGAGATATGACTTCAAAGAAGCAAATATAGACTAGAAGCCTTAGAATCTAAGGAACATCTAAGAGTTTTGAAACTCTTCATTGCTCCATTTCACCAGACCAACTGCAGATAAAGCACAAAAGCCCCAGACTGAGAAGGATCAGAACTCTAATTTGTAGTTTGTTGTTGTTTAGTCACTAAGTCGTGTGTGACTGTTGTAACCCCATGGACTGTAGCCCACCAGGCTCCTGTGTCCATTGGATTTCCCAGGCAGAATACTGGAGTGGGTTGCCATGTCCTTCTCCAGGGAATCTTCCTGACCCAGGGATTGAATCTGTGTCTCCTGCATTGACAGGTGAATTCTTTACCACTGAGCCACCAGGGAAGCCCAGTTCAAAGACTACCCTACTCTTTTAGTGGTTTAATTGCTCTTAGGTTCCTGCCCTAGGTCATACCTAGATGTGATGTTGCATTCCCTTTTCAGGTGCCCACTGGAAATCCCATCACACCAAGTAGCTCATGATTCTACCAAAGTTATATGGATTGCTGTAAAGGGTGTTCACATTATAGATGACATGACCTCTCACACTCTCTTTCTGGCAATGAATGACCTCTCTCATCTCCTCGCAGATCCAGTTCCCTCTGCCTTTCTCAACCCCCACAGTCCCTGCATGTTACCTTGTGAAGCTCTCTGGAAAGTGAAGTGAATGCCCTCCCCTGTGTATGTTTATTTCAAAGCCCTCCCAAGCCTATCTGATTCCTCAGTGCTCTAGAATTCTATGACATAACATTTTCTTTTACTACATCAGACCTGTAAGACATCTTTTGGGTTGCCTTTCTAGCTCATGATGACAGTTTTCTGAGAGTGGAATTAGTGACCCTGTATTCCCAGGTGTGGGGTTTCCATGGTGGCTCAGTGGTAAAGAATCTGCTTGCCAGTGCAGGAGACTCAGATTTGGTCCCTGGGTCAGGAAGATCCCCTGAAGATGGACATGGCAACCCACTCCAGTATTCCTGTCTGGTGGGCTATAGTCCATGTGGTTGCAAAAGAGTTGGACACAACTTAGCAGCTAAAACAACAAATTCCCAGGTATATTTGACTGAAACAGCTTTGACCAAGCTGGACCAATTAGGTTCTCTTACCTGGCAATTTTATAGTAGAACTGAAAGTTTTCAGTTTTCATCCCTGCATAGGGCTGGGCTTGAAACATGTGCATTCAGAGCTCCCAGCAGCCAGTTCATGAAGAGAGAGAAATTGGGTCTACGGAGAAAGAAGTGTATTAAGATACTTTTAGCTGCAAGTAATCGAAATCTTAAATCAAAAGGTTTTATATTTGCCTTAGTGTGTCTGTAAGGCTCTCTGGCAGTCGTCCCAGTTTCTTTAGTCTATGCTGATGGGCCTGTGTGTTACAAACCACTGTGTGGCACATGCCCAGTAGAGATGTCTTCAGAGGACCCTCTGGGCCTGCTACTCTGGTCGCTGATGGGGGTGGGGGTGGGGTCCCAGCTCAAGCTCGACCTTCCTTCTCCACTGCTGCCTCTGTTACAAGGCTGTCTCCCAGCCAATAGCCTTTATGTGTGGGGTCTGGTGAAACGGTCCAAGTTCAGCCACCTATTCCAATGTGCAGTAAATCCAGGGGAAATACTTGTTTCCTTGTCACACCGTACTACTTCCTGCTTGCTCTCTTCAGTTTTCTTTTCTTTTGTTCATATTTGCCCTCCTTTGTTCAAAGGGGAAAATTGGCTAATATGCTGCCTC